CATGCACATTCACTACGCATGCTTTGCACATACGTATGGTTTGTTTTAAATCCTACATTAGTATCATCTGCTTTCTTATTGCAAACACCACATTAAACATAAAAAATAGAAAATGTCAAGATACAGATGGCACCCAAAAAGACAACGACTTCCTTTACCTTAGTGGTGGCATGGTCGGCGGAGATACGGGACTTCGTCGTCGTTGCCATGCTCTTTACCACGTCGTCCAGGGTTCTGAAGACGTACTTCGGCTTCAAGTGACCGGGTCGTTTCTTCCACTGCTTTTCTTCCTCACCAGCCGTTACTTCACTTTGGCTCGTCGTCTTGGCGATGCCATCGGCCCGGTCTTTCTTCTGCTGAGGGGTTTCTGGCCCATAGGCGCCGATCGCTCCTCTTCCAGGTCTCGGCACCGCCTGTATCGGCTCAGCGATGCCTTGCGCCTTCTTGCCCAAGCCTTTACCGGCCACGTAACCCATCTATAAAGCAACAAAACATTTACTTAGGGAAAAATGCAGGTGAAACCAGAGATGATCCGTCCTTCGACGTACTTTGCTAAGTAGCTTGGCGCCAATGCCCTTCGTGTGCCTCTCCCAGTCGCCGAAACGCTCGCCCCCTTCGCCGACGCCTCGATTCACCTTGACGAACTCCCTTCTGGTGGAGACTCGCTTAAACTTGGACCGCAGATACTTCGCTTGGACTTCCGCTTCCACATCCTCGACCTCGCTATCGTCCGTAGCTTTTGTCGTTGCTTCTTCCACCTGATCACCCTTCTTGACGCCGCCTTTCACAAAACTCAGCGGAGTCTGGTAGTGTTTTTTTGTCTTTCCTTCGCCGCCAAAATCGATGACACCAGCCTCTTCCTCACTGCCGGACGTTTCGGGGTCGGCCCAGATACCATAGATCTGTTCATTTTTAGATATCCGCTTTCTTCTCAATGGATTGAACGCCGAATCAATGTCATAATCACTGATTTCGAATGATTCATACTCTTCGCCCATTATTTCTTAATAATAAAGTATGAAAAATCAAATTATATACAATGCGCTCATAACCGCGAGTTTAAATACAATACGTAAACTTCTACATCAAGAGCATTTCGCTGCCAACAACAAATTGCGTACAGTAATCAACTATATCTATAGGTACAGTTTAGGTCTGACAGTAAAGTTACTTTAAAGAGATACTTTTTTAAACGGCAGTTAACTAAAATAACTATAACTTATTTACACAAATTTCATCTCAGAAAATAAATCAGATAAGTTACTGAATTAGGCGTACAGCAACATTTACATCTACATTTACATTTACATCTAGGTACCTAAAAGATTATTTAAGCGATTCGATTTCTTTAGTATTGGACAGTCGAGATTATATGATGCAACAGCACCATTCCGCAGGACTTAAGTGCACATTTTGCACAAATAACAATGCACAGTTAATCTGTGAGCATCACAAGATTACAAGTTTTGACTTACAGCCAACTAGTGTTGGTTTATAAGAATACTGCTACATATGAGGTAATATAGTTCGATCGAGGTTGACAGCTTCCTGGTCAGAGATCAGCCATGTAAATTGCTAAGAATTCAGCACTTTTTGCTAAATTTAATTTTTCGCAGTCTCGTGGAATCTAATGCACAATGCACATAAGGAACGAAAGTGAAGTGCTACTTTTACTAATTTTGAAAGTTTTGAATCTTTACCTCTTTGCATGAATAGTAAATGCTGTGAGTATGTACAGCGCCAGTGGGCTATCTTGCAGCAAAGAATTTATGCAGACAAAGACTCCATCGAGCACTCAAAGTTTAACTACAAAAGCAATTTCACTTTGCTTCTCCAGATTGAGAAGTCGCAACTGCGATGGCTTAGGCATATGTTGCGAATGCCTCCAGAAAGGAAGGCTAAGCAACTTTTCCTTGCAAATCCGACCGGCAAAAGTCACAGGGGACGGCCAAGATTAACCTGGTGCAAACATATGGATGGAGTCTGTTCCAGACTCCATTTGTCTTTTGCCGACGCTTAGACTCTGGCACAGGATCGGGAACGTTGGAAGCTGTGTCTGATGTGTCTGCATCCGCGACCGGAAGGGAGAAGCGGTGATGGAAGATGAATTAAGATGAAGCAATTTCATGGGTTCTAATGACCAGAGCTGTGTGTATGAGTACCATTACGTGCCAACGGCTCGACTGAACCTCCAATCTGGATTGTTTTTGTCCATTATTGTGCCAGAAAAAAAGTCGATTTTTGTAGCCAACGAATCATATTTAATGAACCCGTCAGCACCATAGTTAAAGTCCCCGCTGATATTTTTAATGTCTCTGGTCCGTGATGAATACATCACAGAGCTCCATCGGAGACGGCTGTATTCTGATTTTCCCTGTGTCGAATATAATTATTCGGACTCCATTGTTGCAACTTTGGCTGATGTAATGAAATGGCCTTGCGTTCACCAAGCCAGAATGCGTGATCGCCTTCGTCTGGGTACTGTTCTGGAATTCTTTCGCCTTTACTGGCATTATTGAAGCTCGCCTCACTGGCGGCAGTCATCGACGCGATAAAAACTATGTCGTTTTATATCCTTGATATCTAAAGCCATTATTGAAGTAGCGCTCGTTATCACGCAGCTTTCCGATCGGTCTCTTGTCAGTTTTGGAGTCAGAGTTTGGTCTTGCTATTGCGGGCACGCGTTTGTCATTGTTGCGGTAATTTCGAACGTCGTCGAGAGGACCATGACATTTGTAGCTGCATGACATGAAAACTTTTTCTACTAGTGGTTCGATTATGTCTCACTGGTAGTTCTTCCCGACACTATATGTCACCCGTTCCGTTAGCGAGTACTCTATCGTAGCGTACTAAATTACGGACCTACAAAGCCTGCGTATTGCCGGCGATACTTTATGATCCTACACTGGACACTGGAGTAACTCCCAGAGATTCAATACGTGAGAATAAAGACAGGTAGAAAACAAGAAGCGTATGAATTTATCATAGAGCAGCTGTCGCCAAATTGACTGAAATATCTATATCTCCGGAAAATCGACCAGGGAAGAGTCGCGCTGTTTTTCCAAATGAGGAAACAAGCAACAGATGTTCTTGCATACAGTGCCCTTAATACGAAACCCACCTGTCGGAGCAGGCCTGTTGGTTTTAATTTAAATAAAAGCCTTTCGTGCCGAAGGCGATACAAAGTATTAATAGTTTCTATTGAAGGTCGAAACAAATTTTTGGCCTTTGAATTGTACTCAAAAAGTGATTAAAGGACATGATATTTGGCCAGAAGTCAAATCCAAACTCATGTTACTGAGTAGAGAAATATGACAAATTTATTTACTTACGCAAAAATGGCTTCTTATTAGCACACTGCATGCTTCTTTTAAATACGCAATATAGCGTAAATATAAAAGAACTCCCTTCCTGGGATTTTGATACAACAAGTTCTGTAAAATGACTGCTCACACCCGGTAAACTACATAGCGCGCTGGAAACGTAGTAAAATCAGTTTTCACTGCAGTGATCTTCTCTTAGGTGAAAGTAAAATAATCGTGAAACTGATAGACGTCATAAATGTCAGTTACTGTGCTGTTCAAGATAATTTAACATTGATGATCGAGCAACTACGATGGAGAAACTCTTAAAGTGCGGAAGAATCATGGCATCAAAACTTTCACCAACAGGAAAATTATTTTAAAAAATTTTATCTCGCCTTTTGCAAGCCGTAGCCTGTTGGCAATCCTAAACAAGTGTTTGTGACCTAGCGTTGCAAGCAGTTGCCATGAATCTCCTAGATGGACCTAAAGTTGTTTGTGCGCGATATAACTTGGT